CGGGGTGAACATGCAAACTCCACACAGACAGCATCTCAGGTCGGGAATTGAACCCAAGTGTTGCTAGGCAGCAATGCTAACCACTGTGCCACTGTACTGCCCCCTTAACTAGCATAAACATCACTATAATGTTATGAGAAGGGGAATGGGTATAAAGAAATTCTAAATCATTGTTGTGACATCTGTGACCCAACATGTACAGGTAAACTAAGGCACTGTTATACGGTACTGTATGTGTAAAAAGTTGTATGCCCTACATATGAATTACATGTTAATAAACCCCCAAAAACCTGTCCTATCAATTTGCCTTTCACAGTTCTTAAACACACAAAGGATAATTCCGGCAAAACCAACACAGAAATACAGAAACACTATTAACGAGAGTGACTAATGAGAAGCCCAGATTTTAAGATGGTTGCATTGTTTCACAAACCCTATAATGAGGTAGTAAGCCCAAGATGTATGAGGCCCCTGCCCACACGCTGGATTTCACTGCCTGTGAACTTGGCTTGTTTCTCCCCCAGGGGGAGTAAAAATGAAAAAAAAATCCCACCATCTTAAGTCTTGAGATGCTAGACTGCGAAACCTGCTGAGTTTTAAATGCATAAAAGCTTGATGAAACCTGTAGGACGCTGCTCACAGTGAAAAGTAAATGACCCACACCAGAAACCAGGATAAAGTTCTTTTCATCATTTTTATAGTCATCTGTTTCCTGGAATTAATGCAGAGGATATCACCGTGTGTCGCTCTCTAGTTCAAATACTTTTGCCCCCCTATTTCTTATTAGTCTCTCCTCTCTAACCCATCGCTGACTGCATGAGGATGCTGTTATCTGCTTGGAATGAGAAGCAGCATCATTAAGAGACTCATCAATGGCTTGCACGTGCTGGTCTGCCTTTCTTCAAGGTGCCTTCAAGTACAGCAACTTAATCTCCCCACATTAAGAAAAACCCTACAACCAGACAAGTTCACTTACTCGAGAAATGGATCTAAACTTAAACAACATATTTGAAAAGAGCTCTCAAAAACAAATGTAAGTTTACATGTTGAGAAGATTCAATAGCAAGCCAGACCTCATCTGAAGTTAATCAAAACCTAGAAAGAAATTTGCATTTTAAATATTAGGGCTGATTATTTTAATCAATTCAACGAACTCTTAGCCTTTCACCAAACACAGATCTCTGTTTCAAAACAATGTCCTATTAGTAAAATAATGCCCAACATTAAAATGTTTGTTATTAAATACCAAATGTTTCCACATTTTATTGTTTTTGGAAGCAAAAAAAAATCAAAATGGATTCTAAACCGCAAAATGAAAACAAATAACTTGGTCTTTAGATTAGACTGCCAGAATATGATTAAAAATAATCTTTGTTAATTACTTGAACTTCCTGCATTTTTTGCCAAGGTTCTATTTAGGACTTTAATGAAGTGGAAAACTACTCATTTTAAATCACTGTTAATATGTATGGCACCGCATATCTGTAGATATTAAAAATGTAAGGAATGTTTGCTTCTGTTTTTCAATTCGTATTAAAAAATAACTCAGAATAACACAACCCCCTTTTTTGTTTGTTCTTATAGTCTCTGAACAACTATAATCTATAATCTGAACAACCAGCAGGATTTAATTTTAGAAACAAAGAAGAGGAAACCGGACAGATCAGATCCCAGATACTGTATCAAGTTCAAGTTATTTGTGACAGTACTGTTTTGTACTTTCAGGAGAGCTAACAGTTCTCTTTCCTTCCACTAGACATTTGGCAACACCTTCAAGTAGTTCTCAAGTAGACACAGATGTTGGCTGGTATTAGAGTTAAGTTTAACCATTGAAATGATTTTGCTCTGCCTCTAGGTAAATACTGTAGCAATGCTCACCAAAAAACTAATATTTTGTGACTCAATCACTAATAGTTTCATTTATCAAGAAATTTTGACATAAATCAAGTAAATAGTAATAAGATCATCTCACTTTTAATTATAATAAGTAAAAGGTACAACTGCCTTTAATGCTAATTATACTATAAATATGCTTTTGTCTATTGACTGCTGTCTCCTGCCTAAAAGTCTTTGTTCCTGTCAGTCTTCAGTTAAATATTAATGACATTGATACAACAAAATACACAACCTTTGGATACCCAAGGTAAATATCATTATATGAGATTTCAACAAACAAGTTATTTGGATTGAGTTTTCTTGAGGGGAAATGTGATTGAAAATTAAAACTGAAGACAGGTTGCAAGACTTGATGAATCACCACTGTGTGAGACTGATCCACCTTCCTAGGGAAGAAAGGACTTCTTCAGAGACAACCATGTTTTCAGAGGTTATTCTTTAATCTCAATCTAACAGAAAACAAATTCTAATTAATCAATTAATTAAATTAATACCTAATAAATAAGGATATCAATGTGCTAACTGAAAAAAGCAAAATTTCAGCAACACTTAATTTCTAACTGGTATTTATCATAGTGATGCAGCAATGATGAAATTATTATTTATTTTTCTTTGTATACATTCAAACTACAACAAAATAACTAAGAAAATACAGTATAACCTTGTCAAGGAATCAGTGTTATTAAGCCTCTTAATATTAAGAATCAGACCTTCAGCATTAACTTAATTTTTTTTCTGGCGATTGTGTCCCCAAATACAAGTTCATTCCAACATCCAGGGGAAAGCCTCTGGTCTTCAAAAGCACCAATAAATTACCATTAACAGCCGGAGCTGAGTTCGAGATAAACTACTAAGTCTTCTCTTAATGCAATCAATAAGGTCAGGTCTGAGCCAAGCCTTCTTGCTTAAGGATTTACAATGGATTGCATACACTGCCCTTCACAAGACACTGTATCTGAACAACAAATGACCTAAAGATGAAGCAGCAAGAGTTTCTTGAACTATATGTTACACTTGATCATATTCAAGGATACACGATAAACAAGTAGTAAGTTATGTCCATATATCATCTCCTGTTTTAGAATATGAATGAGAAAGTGCTTCATAAAGCATTCAGTTGTTCTACCTATTTCAAGGATGACAGTAAAACCAGCGACGAGTATTTATTACCTCACTAAATATACTGCTCATAGAAAAACATGAATCATCCTTGAATCTCTGAAGAGATACTGTGTAGGTTTCCTCACTGAAAATGAGTAAAACCATTAATAAAGTTGACCCCTCACACTGACAATCTGTACATAAAGGTTTTCAAATCATCTGTAATTTAACTCTAATCGCAACCTTCACAGCCTTAATTCTTACATTCATCAGTAAATAAAAGGATAACATCTGAACTGCTTTTAGGTATACTGTTATCTTTAATACTCTCTATGTAAGTGGTACAAGCATAACAAATTCCAAATTAAGTGTATGTTCATATTAAACCCCATAACCGTTAGTGACCATTGGGAACAGAGACATAGTCACTTTTTTCTTTAGTAGTTGATGAGATGGATGGCTCACTTCTCTTTTCTCATTGGGATTAGACAGGAGTTGTGGCCCAGACACCAATGGCAGCAGCGCCATGTTCCAATTACCTGAATTACTTGCTCCACGAAGTTTAACGATTTCTAAGATGTACCCAGATTTAAATGCATAAAAGTCCAATCCAATAAAAAAAAACCATCCAATATCAACCATATTCCTTCCAAAGAGCAACAGACACAACAAAGCCAGGCAGAACTAAGAAAAGCATTGTTCATGTGCAGAAGAACAAATCACAACTGAACATGTACTGTAAAATGGTGTAACATTTCAAAGCAAAGGCCAGACATAAACTAAATATTCAAAGGCCAGACATAAACTAAATATTCAAAGGCCAGACATAAACTAAATATTTTCTCAATACTGTATATGATAGTGACAACAACCTTGCTATCTTATTATGAAATATAATGCTTCTCTGATGGTGTTACTGTACAGTAAGTATAATTTTGTGGGAGTATGAATAAACATACCAAGTTAACAGGACCAGTAACAAAAAGTAAGACCACTAACAAACCAAACATAAAAGGACAGTACAGAAGAAAGGCATTCTTATTATTGCAACAAAACACAACAAATTAAAGAAAAAAACAATAACCCGGGAAATACCAAAATGTCTTTGGGATAGGCACCATAAATATGGCATGTTCAGCAAATATCATACAGTATGTATCAAGTTACAGATAGCAATGTTTAACGGTTGCTGTTCATGAAGGATCTATAATGTGCTGAAAAGGCTACACCAGCTGCCCCCGTAGCTGACATTTGCTATTGCAGTTGCATCTGAATCTCATACCGTTTTGAGTTTTAACAGAAACAAAATTTATGTACCACGCACTCCCACGCTTCCAAATTCCAAAGGGTGATTATACATGCGAAACATCTGAACATTTGCACTCAAAAATAATTTTAGAGAAGAAATTCCAATTATTGTCGTGCCGTACATGAATTTACTTTCTCCTCATTTCCCACCCAGTAACTTTCGATGCTTTAAAATTCTACACGATGACTATGCCTACAGTACGTCTAGAATTGCAGGGAATCTAAATAAAAGCTGTCAACAAGATAGGGGATGGGGGCGTGCCAGAAACATATTCAGAACAAGCAGCCTCTTAGTGCACCGGTGACAATGCATTCTACAAGCATTTTAAATCACTCTTTCAAGAAATGAGTCACCCATCTCTTCTCCACAGGAACGTTGCACTGCAACAGTAGAGTAACATATTGAATGGCTGCATTCAGCGAACATTTTTTGAAAACGCACAGCATTAGTGACTTGTTTTACAATCCTCACGTTCTTCTGCAGTCACCGAATGAATCAAACGATCAGCTCATGTGTTGTCCAGTTGTGGGTCATTAGTAAATATGTTGCAATGTTATCAGTTGATCACGATCTTTTACATTTCACGGTAGACAGCAGTGAGAGGTGGTATTCTCAAAACAGAACTAGCAAGGGGATGGCGTATTGAAGTTCTTAAAACTTGGGGAAGACAGGAACATTTTTAACATTTTCTTACCGTTACCTTTATGCTTCTCCATATGGACAGACAAGAAGAAGAATCCCTGTTCCAGTCAGAGTTCAAGGCTTTCTTCTTTTGCCTTTTTTTAGAACAAGCCTGAAGTCGCTGTCAGACTGTCCGTCCTGCAACACCGCTTGATGCTGTACTGTCTGTGCAATATAGCTGTTCGCTCTCAGAAAACCCTCACTTACACTGGGCTGTGTTTTCTCAGGGTTTCACATTTACCGCCCCTCCTTCTCTGAGCGTCATCTCTGCATCTGCTACAGCTGGTCCGTCGGCTAGTTCCTCTCTTCCCAGTTGCAGTGTTAATTTGGATAAATTAGTTCTCAAGTTATAATCACAATTGTATTCATTCTTTTTCTCTTTAATATGAAAGGTAATCGATATAATACGTGATACAGTACCTAACTAAGAACTTCAGGATAATATCGCATTAGCAAGAACCTCATAAAAATACAATAGTATCCGAAAGTAATGTAACGTTTAGAGGAACCGAGAGCTAGACTGTACTGAATGCATTTAAAGTAAACTTTACTGTTATCAAATAATAGGAAGTAGAATATTATTGTTGTTGTTGTTGTTGTTGTTGTTGTTGTTGTTGTTGTTGTTGTTGTTGTTGTTGTTGTTGTTGTTGTTACCAGTCCCAAAAGTTTTTATTAGCTGGTATATTTAATATTGAGCTCTGATGGTATCTCAGATTTGATAAATATTTAGAAAAACAAGGAGGGTGAGGGAACGTAATAAATAAAAAATGTTTCTTAAGGACTTTTTATTGTACTTTAATTGTTTTGATTAGTAAAAAAACATTCCCAGAAATGAGTCTTTCTCTT